TACAAATTTAATTGTAAAATTAAATTATTGAATAAATAATGACTGTTAATGACATTGTTCTTTTCAATTATTAATTGTAATTATATGTGTTTGCATTGACGATTTGTTAATACAAAGAAAAATCAAACATAAACAATTGTTAATAATTTCATTGTGTAACCACTTCCATATCCTCAATTTTCATTCAACAGTTTTTTGTTGAAAATGATGTGCAAGCGAGATATTAATCCAAATATTTCTTAACTATCGTTTTATCATTTTTTATATTACAACACAAAAAGTGAACATGTATATTTTGATAATACTACAACTATTATGATTAATTAAAATGGAAGCATTTGTTAATTAGCAATTTTCATTAATTTGATAACAACAGTTGGTGTATTGGGTTTTACCGTTTATTGCTACACTGGTGATTTAAAAACAGCCTAAAATATTAAAAGTGGTAACTTTACAATGTGTAAAAATGTAACATAAAACAAAAAGTTTAAAAGATAACAATAAAATTAAAAAAGTATCACAGTTTACACAAATTTTAGGATTTTACTTTCGACTCACTTAAACGTGTACATAAGACATTAAAATCGTTTTTTTGTAGTCTAAGAATTAACATGAATTAAAAACTATAGTTGTGTATTTTTTGTTAACATATTTTAATATTGTTGTTGATATGTTGTCAACGAAATGTTTTAAAACAACAAATATGTATTGAAGTTGAATCAGTAATAAATTTACCCACTTTTGTTTAAATGTCAAAATGTTTTTTTACAAAAAAATCAAGTTCAAATACATAAAAGTCACAATTTTGTGTTTATTGATTTCAACGTATATATATGTAAAATATAAGCTGTTTCAAATGATATATTAATACACAATTTGTTGTACCTTATATAAATATTACTGTCCATATAATGAAAATTAAATTTATTGTTGTGTTTTTGATGTTTAAACAAAGTAAAGCGTAAACTTCTATTGGTTTATGATTTGAAACAAATGGACCGTTACAATGTTGTATATTTTTCAATTTGGTGTTTTTGTTGTTCATTAAAATACAAAAGAAGTTATAATCACGTTTTTTATTGATGTCATTATTAACTAACTGTTTGTTAAAATGTATTTTTTTTCCAGACAAATCAACTGCTTATATCGTCATTGTTTGGCACATTGAATGACCAATGCTACTCAAATTACAATGCATTTATTTTTTTAACAATATAATTCAGAATTAAATATACAATACTAAAACAATTATGTTGTACATTAATAAGTATCAACAAAATTATAAACAGGTTGAAAGATATATTGAAAAGTTTAAAATAATAGTTTTTTCTAACACAAATGATTTATCATTAAAAAATTGTTGTTAATTGTGATGCAATTTTTATTTCATGTTGAAAAATGACCATAGTCTTATATGTTGATCATGCACATGACATCATTTTATTCATTTTTTATGTTTATAATTTATAATAAATTAAATATTTATAACAAGTCATTCTTTGAAATATAATTTCAATGAAACGGTATTGTTTAATTATCAAATAATGTTTGTTTAATTGTGGTTTTAAATATTTGACTCAGTCTATCCTGTAACAAATAAAATATTTAATTAATAATTACAAATAAATGTTTGTAATTACAAACAGATATTGTACAATGTAGTTTATTTGAAATACACATTTTTTATTGAATTATCGTTAATTATTTACATTTTAGTTTGTTAATTTAACATGTAAAAACGTTAATAATAGTAAGATGTTAATTTTGATTGCGTTAAATTATTTGTAAATTTTCGCTGTGTTAATTTGACAAGAAAAATCGATAAATATTTTTAAATTGTTAATTATTTTTTTCGTTAATTAATTTTATTTTTTCGGTGTGTTAATTATACAAGAAAATATGTTAATAAAATTCATATGTTAAATTAATCTTTTGGTTAATTTGTATTATGTTTTTTTATTGTGCTAATAAAACATAAAAAATAGATAAATATTTACAAATTGTTGATTTATCAAAAACAATTTGATAAAAATTATTGAATCTTCTGGAATCACAATTCAATATTACCTAATGTCCCGTTTATTTTCGTATTTTTAAAAATAGTTTTACCAAAGACGATTTTTTTGCCGCAAAAAACAACCTCTTCAGTCTTTTTTTCTTGAAAAGCAAATTTTTCCGAGGCATGATTAAAATGTTATCAGTATTAAATAAAAACTGGTGTTATGTTTTGTTGTATAATTATCTTATCAATGAAGAAAAAGGAAAACAATAATTATGTTATAGTTTAAAATATTGCTCAGTAAAACTCGAGCGTTTACAAAATAATTTAATTTTAATAAAAATTTTTAGTTGATATTACGAACAATCACAGAATTATATTTATATACACAATTGTATTTTTTTTAATTAATAAAACTTTTATTTGTTAATATTAATTAATTACAAACCATAGCAACTAATAATTGTTTAAATAATGTCAATAACGATATAAAATACAACATAATGTTATGATTACAATTAAATTAAAGAGAACAAAATAGATAACAACTAGAAGACTAATTTTTGAAACATAAACAATTTTATTAATATGATTTGAATACGTTGTTATTTTGACTAACTTTTTAACATATTTTGTTACAAACAAGAAAAAATTTGTGTTTTCTTGTTGTTTTTTAAATAAAAAAATTCTTTAAAATAATTACAAATACAAGTTTTTGTAAAAAATACTTCGAACCTCATTAATTTATATGAAAAATTAATTAATTAATCTTGCAAAGTGGTATAACTTTGTTATTACAAAGTTCTGTGGAAATATATCATATTTATAATAACATCATAACATTGCCTCATGTTATTATGAGGTGATCAATAAGAAATATATATTAAACAAATAACTATTATTTATTTTCATTGATAATCAATGTTTAAACAAATTAAGAATTTTTATAAACAAATCATGATAATATATGAAATATAAATTAACAATATAATCTTGAAAAAAATACAAAAAACACCTAATAATGGAAGTTAAATTAGATGCTTTTCATTTCCAAATCGTAATGAAATATTTCTTGTATAAACAAGATTATATCAACTCGATGTTAACGTGTAAAAAATTTGGAAAAATACTTGACCGATTTCGATACAACCCGATTCTTATTAAATCCACCAAATTGTTTCCATATATGGAGACTCAATACTTATACACAAAATATGATGATATTTTCGCTGGAATATCCCGACTTGTCGTCTTGTACAAAGTGACTTACTCTGAAACAAAAACTTTATTTCCAGACTTTGATGTAGAATTTAAAAATGTGACAATAACTTCATCTGATATCAAACAACAAAATATCACAACATTTACTCAAATACCCAAAACCATAAAAATATACGATGATAAATTTTTAAACACTTTTGATTTTAAAGAGTTTAGTGTCCCAACACATATAACTGAATTGTACCATTCTTGCTTTTACAATAATACCACACTCACTTCAGTGACACTGTGTGACGGGTTAAAAGTCATACCGTCGTGTTGTTTTGAACTTTGCAAAAATTTAGTTTCTGTAAATGTTCCAACCACAATCATTTCAATTGAAATTGGCGCTTTTGAAGAGTGTGGTATTATCAAATTATCAATTCCTGATACCGTCGTTTCGCTCGATTTAAATCTGTTTTATTCATGCGCTAATTTAGAGGAACTTGTTATATCCAAGAACGTTACTGTTTTGCCATATTACATGTGCGAAAAATGCACTAAATTAACACGCGTTGTACTCCCAGACAATTTAATTTCAATTAAAGCAGAAGCTTTTTGTGATTGCAGCCAACTTGTTGATATTACTATCCCAAACACTTTACTTCGAGTTGAGTTTGGCACTTTTTCAAACTGTGAAAAACTCAAGGAACTTGTATTTAATGAAGCATGTGAAATAGAAGAAGGGGTGTTTAGTGGTTGCACTAGTTTAACCCGTTTGGTTGCTAATGGAATTATACGTAACAAAATTTCTCCAAACGAAGTTGATGTTGTCGAACAGTTGAATGATACATTTGAGTGTACTTTGGATGACGATTTTGGCTCAGAAGGAGAGTTAAAAAGTGACAGTAAGTATACAACACTCGGTTGGTCACAAGTCTGTGATTTTGAATGTACAGACTCGGTGTTTTTTATACCTGAAAATTTCACAAAAATAGAAAATATACCATTTTATAAAGATCGAGATATTCACGTAATATATTGTCTCAAAGTGTTTTTTATTTAAATTTTTCCTCATTTGACAAATTTGATAATTTAGAAGAAATTTATTTGTCTTCTCATATCGTAAAATTTAATAAAACGATATTTGAGAATTGTGTTAATTTAAAACATATATTTAACATGCAAAATGTGACTAAAATATGCCAATTTAGCTTCAAAAACTGTTCATCTTTAAAAAGTCTTCACATCAACAAACGTGCAAAAATTTCGTTCGGTTGCTTTGAAGGATGTGTTGGACTAACTTCTCTTGAAATTCCAAACAACAACAAAAAAGTCACATTTAAAGTAACAAACGAAGATGAAAAAGTCTTAACACCATTTGGTTATACTTTTGGTGACCACGTATGTTATTTCAATACAAAAGACACTTATTTAAAATTTGATGAAATTAAAAATAAAAATTATTTCTATGAATTACAAGGAAATTTTTCAAGTGAAGAACTTGACACTATTGTAATTCCAAAAAATGTCACAAAAATATCAACTGGCTTTTTTGGTATGGACGCATTAAAAAGTATTGATTTGGGATGCGTGAAAGAACTTGAAGATGAGTGTTTTGAGTGTAGTGTAAATTCTTTAACTATTCCAACAACTTTGACAAAAATTGGAACAAAATTATTCCAAAGTATAATAAAACCAACTTCAATTGATTTTTGTGGAAATAAATATTACACGGGAATTGTCACAAAACAAGAACAAAATTTCATTGAAAAATGTGGAGTTCAATGCACCAATTTAGAATTTGAGTTAAACAATTTTGAATATTACAAATACATTCCAATGGGTTACAAAGTGATTGGAGGAGACCAATATCGATTACCATTATATCTAACACAAATAATAATACCAAATGGGGTCTCACAAATCAATTCACATTGCTTTTCTGATCTTCCAAATTTAAAGAAAGTCGAGTTTCCAGAGACACTTCGCAATATCAATTATGGCGCTTTTGCCTTTTGATATTCTCTTGAAAACGTCACATTCCCACAAACTATTCTTTCAATTGGAAAATTTGCGTTTTATTATTGCATCAATTTTACACAAATTGTTCTTCCAATAAGTTTGGTTGACATTGGCAGTTACGCATTTTCAAATTGTGAAAACGTGAAGAGCATTGATATTCCAGCTTTTGTTTATTCAGTAAGTAGCGTGTTTGATTCATGTTATTCACTCACTTCAATTAACATCAAAAACACTCGTGAAAATAATATTACGCGTACAACTTATAACGGACCTTTTAATAATTGCAATTTAGAAGAAATTATTATTCCTGAGAGTGTCACTGAAATTAAAAATTCGAGTTTTGAAAATATGAAAAATTTAAAACGTATTATTATTCCAAACAGTTTGATTTCAATTGGAACACATGCGTTTTCAAATTGTTTTCATTTATCCACAATCAAACTTGGTAATACAGTTGAAAGTATAGGAGGGTACTGTTTTGAGAATTGTGTAAGTTTAATAAACATCGAAATTTCAGAGTCTGTCATAAAAATTGGTAATGGCGCATTCAAAAAATGTAAAAATTTAATTGCAGTGACATTTGGACGACAAATGCCAAAATGCGAAATTGACATATTCGACAAGTGCAAAATGTTAAAAAAATTTTACGTTAATGGGAAAAAAGCAACTAAAGTGAGTTTACCTGTCACATACAAAATAGCTCACAATTTGACAAAAAACGGAGTTTGTTGTGATAATATATTCTTTACTCGAAAAGACGTCAAAAAACACTTAGAAATCGTTTTTGAAAATGGCAAAAAGGTTGGTAAAATTCCAAATAATGTTGTTGGACTTTTTGATAATTGTTTCAGAAAATATAAAGAAGTACAAACAATTTTCGTTCCCAAAAGCGTGAAAAGTGTTGGGAGATTTTGTTTTTATAATTCGGTTGGAGAAGAGAATGTATTTTTTGAAGATAAAAATGCTGTCATAATAACAAAAAACAAATATTTGTTTTGAAAGATAAAAGAAATTTTTTTGGTTTATGTTGTTGTTGTTTTTATAAAATAATTGTTAAATGTTAATTTTAAACACGATTTATTGCAAAACACACATTTTGTTGAAATTAATAAAATAATTAGTTGATATTTGTAATTAATGTATCATTATTGATACGACTAAAGTATTTAACTCGCCAACAACCCAATACTGCTATTTTTAACAGTTATTTAAAAATTTGTCCCAAAACTGTTTAAATCAATTTGAAATATTATAAGGTGATTATAGTTATTAATATATCATCATTTATACGACCAAAATATATATATAAAAGTGGCAAATTATTTTTAAAATCAATAAAGATAAATTATTATATCGAACTAATGTAAGAACATACAATTAAAAACAATGAATATTATCACTATTTTATTGTTGATTATTTTGAATAAATTTTTTAAATTTTAGTTAAAAATGTAAATTATTGAAAAAAATGTAAAGAAAACTCAGAAATTGTGATTAATCAATAAATATTTGTTGTTATCAATTCAGTTTTTTAACCATGTAGCCAAATTAAATAACAATAAAAATTAATCGATGTATTCAATTTTCATTGTTTTATTTACCATGAAAAAAGTGTCTTCCTGAATTTTGATAGATCTTTTCATGTAATTTACTCGCTCCAAATTTTCACAATTGTAAAAAGCATATGATTTGATTTTTTTCATGTTGTCCCCCACCCAAACTTCTTTCAAATCCAAAGATTGAAATAATAATTTATCTGTCACATTGATTTGTTCTGGTTCTTTAAAAACGCCATTCTTGTCAATTTGGATCAATGTAATAAAGTACAACATCGCCTTCAAATTTATAGTTATTTTTTAATAATTTGTAAATTGTAAAATCGATATTTCCATCAAAAACAAAATTAAGTGGAATGTTTAAAAATTCGATATTTTTGATATTGTAGCACTTGTAAAACATGCAATAGTTCGTGAAATTATAATCAAAAAGAGTGAGTGATGTAAGTTTGGGACAATTTGATATCACAAGTTTTGGTTGTGGAGTTATACACAATTTTTCTAAATTTAAATGAGTAAAATTCAACCTGTCATATTTTGTGTAACTTGCAGGAAACACCAGTTTTCTTAATTGTTCGTTATCAATAAATGCAGAGAAATGCATCATAGTGATTCCCATTGATATTTTAACTTCTTCACATTTGTAATTACCAAAGTTCACGTCTAAAATTATTGTTTTCAAATTTTTGTAATTCAATAGAAGTTTTCCTTTAAAATAATCGGCGTCTTTGTAAGTGTAATAAAATTCATCGACTTCAAGATTTTCGTCTAAAATATCTTTCATCCAACAAGCAGCCTTTACATTGACTTTTTGAGTATTAATTGCACTGATTTTCTTGAGTCCAGTGTATTCCCAGAAATTGTCGATACTAACATTTTTATTCAAAATAATTGCAGTGAGACGGGTCATGTAATTTTGGATTTTAAAAGATATCACATGAGACAAATCTCGTTTTTTAATATCACAACCAGACAACGCGTCATCTTCAATAACAGTGACAGTACTTGCTAAGTTGATAACGGATAGTCCGCTTCTGTTTCTAACCACTTTGGTTTGAATTTCATCAGATAAAAAGTCTGGCAAAACATTTTTATCGTATTCTGTGGTGACTGTTTTATGTTCGATATTACAAAATGTATATGATATAGAAGCGTTTACATCAAAGTCAACGCTTTTGACTCCTGGCGTTGTAATATTTTTGATTGATGACACCCCATCAAATGCTTTTTTCGCACTTTTTACAATGTTTGTACCTAAAGTTATTGCACTCAATTTATCACACCAATAAAAACAAAAACTCCCCAAACATTCTGATATGTTTCAAATTGAATTTTTGAGTCTTGCACACGCATAAAAACATTTGTTTTGTATCGCATACCAATTTGTTGACAGTTTTATTGTGACCAATGAATTATTATACGCAAAACATGAATATCCAAATTTTATAATGTTTGAGCAATCCATTTCAATGTACTTACGAATGTTAAAAAATGCTTTATTTACAAAAATAGTAGCACCTTTATCTAAAAATTTGTCATTTTTATGGGAAAAAATATAAGTTTTCAGCGAACAAATGACACGTCTTCTTTAGTTTATTTTAATAAACTTATAGAGAGC